AATATGTAGTAAGGGGTTAATTTAGAACTGTACGTTATGAGGTTGGGCATCTGTGGAGCAGTGTCGGGGCGAAAAACAAGTTATTTATTGCAATGTTCTAGTCATACTAAAACGCATAAAATGGGGATGACTGGATGTAAAATATGAGTACGACACACTAGGGGAGCAAACAAAAGACTAATTAAAAGGTGCGGGAGGCAATATTTGAGTTCTATCATTGATTGAACGTGACCACAATATGGTCTTTTAACGTTGTACTAGAAGTACGTGATTTGAACTATCGCCACTTTACACGTATCTTATTTGAAGGTAAATAAAACCATTGCGACCCAAAAACCTAGCAAATTCGACAAAAAAAATAAAAATTTTAGGAACTCCTAAATGGCCCGTATTCTGAGAATCACCCTACTGACCCTGTTCGCGACCTGGGCGAGCTGTTGAACAGAGTGCAACATCACAGGTGTTTAAAGCATTACTGCATAAGGGTCGATAGGACTACTGGCCAACCGGTTTGCAGGTTTAAGTTTCCTTTCGAGGAAGAGCCTATCACTAGGCTTTTTGAAAATAAGAAAGGCTTATGGGAACTAATTACAGCTCGAAATGACAGTCTTTTATATAAGTACATGCAGTGGGTGATTCAGTTGTGGCGAGCCAACATTGATGCTAGCCCTGTACTTTCTATGAAGTTTATGCTCAGGTACATTGCCAAATACACGGCAAAAGGTGAGAAACAGTCTGTGACCTGCCGGGAGCTCGTGGGAGCTATCCTGGACGATGCCGGCGACGAGGACTCGGCCTGCTCCGTCATTCAGAAGCTGCTGATCAAGACGGTATCAGAGCGAGACTACTCGGCGCAGGTGTGCCACATCCTCACCGGCCAGCCGCTACACATGTCGTCGCGCTCGTTCAATGTGGTGAACCTGAGGAAGGACGAGTGGGTTGAGCTCCGCCCAGACGGTCACGGAGGCGACGGGGACGGCGAGGACGTCGATGACCCGGTCGGCCACGCTGACGCCCAGGGTGACGCCGAGCGGCAGGACGCCGCGGAGGGCGAGGAAGGCGCTGACGAGGCAATCGCTGGGGGAGAGGATGTTTCAACATTCCCTGCCTTTGTGAAAGCCTACCAAAACCGTAGGTTGGTTGCCATGAATGACTTGACTCTGTTCCAGGTGGCCAAAGCTTACTCTTAACGTAACAAGAGATGGACCCGCAACATGAGAAATGGGCGGCCGTACGACGCCGTGGTGCGGGCATTCCCCCGCCTCAAACTAACAGGCAACGAGGAGAAGGACGAGGACTTCTACCGAATCCAGGTGCTGCTGCACGGAGGAGGATGCCAAGGGTGCGTTCGACACCTGGAAGGCGGCCTTCGAGGCTCGCGTCCCCGCGGGACTCGTCCCCGTGGAGGCCATGGAGGGCGCCGTGGCGGAAGCGGCCGAGATGGCTGTGGAGGAGGCTCTGTTCGAGCCGCCCGAGGAGCCCGAGGCCGAGGTCGACGCCGAGGTCATGGAGCAGTGGATGGCGCTGGCCAGGATGGGTCCAAACGGCCAGGCCGAGAGAGTGGAGCTGGGCCGGCGTGAGATGGACCTGGCCTACGACTGGCAGGAGTCGGCCGGTGCCCATGGCGACATCACCACTCTGCGCCACTTCATCCCCACCCAGAAAGCGCTGCACGTCGCTGCAGATGACGACATTGTGGTGGACAACGTCGTCTACACCCCAGAGCAGCAGGGACTTATCAACTTGGCCCAGGAGCAGATCAACGCGCTCCGCAATGGGGCACCTCCCCGCGGGCACGATGCAGTGCCAAAGCGTGTTCAGATCCAAGGCAAGGCGGGGTGCGGTAAGAGCACTGTCATCAGAAAGATGGTACAAATGGTGCGAACGCAGTTGGGCCCCAAGGCCGCCAAGCTGATGGCGCCCACTGGGACCGCTGCCAATGTGCTAGGAATGAAGTGCTCCACCATTCACTCTGCTTGCAGGCTGAGGCCTCGGGAGGCCTACAAGCCCCTCGAGGGCGACAGGCTGCGCAAGTTCCAGGAAGAATGGGAGGATGTTTCATTCGTATTTGTAGACGAGAGTTCGATGATCGGTTGCAGGCTCCTCAGTTCGATGGAGAGACGCTTGCGTGAGGCGAAACCTCACTGCGACGAGGTGTTCGCTGGTCTCAATATCTTTCTTATCGGGGACGTCCGCCAACTGCCCCCGGTAGGAGACTCTCCGTTGTACTCCGCTAGGCGGA